GCGGACGATGGAACTCCACATCTTGGAGCACCGGCTGCAAGTTGCCAGCGTCGCCAAGGAGAGTATCTCGCTCTTTACCTACGGCTTGATCAAACTTGCCTTCCTGTCGTCCAAGACCAGGTGAGCGCGGGGACGCGGCGCGGGGACGAGGCGCCGGCCGGCCCGAGACAAAGGGGCGCAGCCGGGCGGCTGTCCCCGCGCGGCGGCTCCAAAACAACTTGGAACCCGGGGAGCGACTCTGCTCCCCGGCCCAGTCGGCCGATCTGCCCTCTCACCGGGTCCCTCCATCCTGGCCTCCCTCCCTCCCGCCCCCATGCACCCCTGCCACTGTCTCCCCGCACCGCGGCCCCCCTCGCATCCCCTCCCCGAAATCCCGAGGGTTGGGCGGGCTGCCATGACGAATCCTGGAATGAATGAACGAACGAATGAATGAATGAAAAACAGGTGTGGGGGCGCGGCGGTACAAAAAACAAACTCGCCCCCATCCCCCATCCCCTTGGCTGGGCCGGCCCCTGTCGCCCCAGCGGGGGCAGGGATTGTGCTGAGCGCGGCTACCCGGGGCAGGGAATCATAAAATCATTAGTGGGTGTTTATCTCCAGGTTGCTGCCGGCGCTGGAGGTGGGGTGGTGGCCCTGATTCTTTCTTCTTGGGGTCCAGAAACGGGGGTGGGGGGGCTGTTTTGCGGAACCGTGAAAAGGGGAGGAGCAGGAGTGTTTATGGATTTGCCTAGGGCAGGGCTTGGATGCTGCAGGGGGAAAATAGTTGAAGGCCCTGGGAGGTAAGGGGAAAAAAAAAAAACCTTGGATTTTTCAATGCCAGGTAAGGGTTTGACTTTTTAAGCCCAGAGATTAAGGTTCTGTGGGTGGCTTTTTTTTTGGTTTTGTTTTAAGGAGTCATTCCCGGTAGTGTGCAAAATAGTTGTTTTAACTTAAGTCCTTGTTTTCCCACCATTATGGTTGTTCAAAGGGGTGATGAAGTTGTAGCTGGTTGTTTTGGGGGAAATTGGGGTAGAACACTTTTCTGGTTTCAAAATGCAGACGCCAGTTATAAGTCTTGGTGAACTGAAACCAAGCCCCCACCCCCACCCCAGGCTGCCCCCTTTGGCGCTGAGCTCAGGCAATGCAAGGCACCAATGATTCAGAGCTCTTGCCCGCCTGTTAAAGTTCTGGCTTGGAAAGCCCACTTTGCTGTGTCCCTGAGCGCCAGCCCAGGCTGCCATTGTTTGTGAGATGAAGAAAGCCCAGCTAGTGGCATCTTGTTTACTTTCTTGTTTGGCTGCTCGGTGGGGTAAGAAGGGTTGAAATCCTAGGCTTCTCCTGAGCCCGGGACCTGGGAGGCTGGCCCCTGTGATTGCAAAGGTAAATTATTAAACAGGTCATTTGAAAACAAAAGCCAGCAGCTCAAGTTCTGGATCACCCTCCCCCAGACCCTTTCTGGCTGTTGACCCTTCAGTCCAGTAGCTGCTCCCTATCTACACGTACCCTCAGCCCTCCACCCTAGCTGGTCTCCAGGTTCTGCAGCTGAAGGGAACCGAATGGCCTTGTTTTTCCAACCCTTGGCCTTAGCCTCTGGAGCCCCCTGGCTGATTCCCCAGTAACTTTCAAATAGGAATAATGACTCAGTGGGGCTGTACCAGGGGCCTGAGTGCTGGGAGGAGCCGGCAGAGGGGTGGGGGCGCCTTCTTAGAAAGCCTGCGTTCCTTCAGCCAGTTTCATTTGTGGAAGGGCTGGCCCCCACGTCCCTCTGGAAATGCCTGTCTGACTACGGAAATCATCCTTCGCAATGGGCCCCCTTCTCCCTTTTTTTTTTTTTTTCAAGAAACAGCTGGTCCCAGGTCCAATCCCAAGATGACTCAACGGTCAGAGGTCAAAGGTCACTCCATGTCTCCAGGCTCTGTGTCCAGTAGGTGCCTGAGCATGTGTGTCAGGAAGCTAAAGGCCCGCCGCCCTGAGCCACTCTGGTTGTGACCAGTCCCTGCATTGCCTGAGAAGCTAGGGCGAGGTCTCTGGGTCTTACTTTACCCATTTGTACAGTGGAGCTCTGGTAGTGTAGTGGTTACGAATTGGGCTGTGAACCTCAAGGTTTGCAGTTCGAAACTACCAGCTGTTCCACGGGAGAAAGATGAGGCTTTCTGCTCCCGTAAAGATTTACAGCCTCGGAAACCCTGTACAGGGTCGCTATGAGTCGGAACTGACTCCACGGCACAGAACCACATCAACAGTGGAGCTCACATCAATCAGCCAGCTCCTGTCCAGAGCTGACTGTGTATGTGACTTGGGCCGATTGTGGAAAATTACTTTTTTAACAAGTGTGAAAAGGAGCCCTGGTTGCACTGTGGTTAAGGCATTTGTCAGCAGACTGAAAGGTCAGCAGTTTGAACCCGACAACCGCTCTGAGGGAGAACTACATGGCAGTCTGTTTCTGTACACATTTTATAGCCTCAAAACCCCACAGGGCAGTTCGACTCTGCCCTATTATTGTATGCCTTGGAGTTGGTTCTGACTCATAGCAACCCTGTATAGGGTTCCCAAGAGCAGCTGGTTGGGTTTGAAGTGCTGACCAGTCTAGTGCTTATCCTGTAAGGCCACACCAGGGCTCATGCGTAGTACAGACGGTTTGTTGTGGGATGCTAACTGAAAGGTTGGTGGTGCAAATCTGCCAACAGTACCACAGAAGAAAAGTCTGGCAGTTGACTGCCCTAAGATTCCAGCCATTGAAAACCCTGTGGAGCACCATTCTACTGTGCTCCACAGAGCCACCTTGAGCTGGAATCAACTCAATGGCAATGGATTTGGGGGTTTTGTTTATTTGTTTGAAGGGGGTGATGAGATACGGATCTAGTATTCAAGTTCCTTTCACTACAGCCATGGCCAGTGGCTATCCCTTCCCCGTGCACCCTCTCCCTTCTCCTTCCCCCCAGACCAGTGAGAGTTCTGAAGGACTCTGCTGTTGTCTTCTGCTCTTCCTAGCCAGTCTGTCTTCTCTGCAGATACCTGGGAGTGTCCATTTGATGGCAGTGGACTTCTGTTTCACAATTTTTCATCACTCCTTGTAGGGTAGAAGACAGAGTTCTGGTATTACTATAAGGTATGCACTGGACTGCTAACTGCAAGGTTGACAGTTCAAACCTACCAGCTGAGACTTTCGGCTCCCACACAGATTGGCAGCCTCGGAAATCCTATACAGCAGGGATGCTATGACGCAATGGTCTTGGGTGGGTATAAGGTCAACGAATCCTTGAAGTGGCATTCAAGGCCTTTTAGAATCTAGGTCCTGATTCCTCCACTTTAGCCAGTCCTGGGCAGATACTCTAAAGAGCCCGGGTGACATAGTGGGTTAAAATGACAAGGTCGGCAGTTCAAACCCACCAGCCACTCCAGGGAAGAAAGATAAGAGTCTTCAAAACTCAGGAGCAGGTGGACTCTGTTGAAAAAGGGTTGGTGTGAGTCAGAATGCACTGGAAGAATCTGGTCAGTGGCACCGTGTTGTGTTTTGGGAGTGGGGAGGTGGGTAGATAGTCTAGTGGCACATGATTTACCTGCTCGTGCCATCTTTCGCCTCACCTTCGCACCCTCCCATATTCCATCTTTGCAGGATGTTCCCTTCCCAACGGTAGTATATCCCTTTTGTCCCTCATGACCTCTTGGGTATCACCCTCCCTGACCTCACTGGGCAGACTTAGTCACTGCCTTCTTCTTTGGGAGGGAGCTGGCATGGGGAGACACCCGCCCGGTGTGGGCTGCCACAGGGGCCAAGGTGGCCTGGCCCTCCAGCATGTACACAAGTGCTGTTAGGATGTGTCCGGACTCACAAGAAAGAAATGCCTGGTGATCTGTTTCCAAAAACCAGCCACTGAAACCCTACAGGTGATCATCATCCCTCCAGCCCGCCCGCCGGTCAGGAGGATGGTACAGGCTGGGGGATACAGGGTTCTGTTGTAAGGTGTTCACACATAGCAGCAACCACATATTCCCATTTCAAAGTGCTAAACTCCAGCGCCACCTCCTGCAGGCAGCCTCCTTGCCCCGCTTTTTGACTCCCACCCTCCCCTGCCACAATTGTAGAGATGCCCAGGGCCAGGGGAGGGTGGGAGTCACAGAAGTGAAGTGACTTACTCAAGGTCACCCAGTGAGTGGTAGAGTCAACTTCGCGTCTTCCTCTTCCTTGCTCCAGCTGGCGCTCATATTCTACAATAGCCAAAGCTCTTCTATTTGCAAGGCACTGTCGTTTTCTCCTTCCGGAGCACAGGATTGAACCGTGGGCCTTTGTGGATTTTCTTCTACCAGGAATGCTTGCTCCTCATAACCTCCCATTCAAACTTTCTTTTGGGGCCTTGGTGAGATGTCCCTCCTGCACCAGACCTCACATCTCAGCTCTGGCCCATAGCAGCCTGTTGCTTGTCTTACTCCCCCTCCTAGATTATAAACCCCAATGCCAGGAACTTGTTTTTTTTTTTTTTTTCTTAAATGTTTTATTGTGAATTATGTGATAGTTTACATGGGAGAACATTAGTTTTACATTCATTCTATCGTATATCGTCTCATTGCCATCGTTACAACCCCCTCCATGAGGAACTTTTCTGTACGTCTTTTTACCCATCTTCCCCTGTCCACTGCCACCACCACTGCCACATAGTCACCAATCACTATTTGGTAAGAGTGGCGTAACCTATTTTACCGGTCCGGGGACTGGAAAAATAAAATGGTTTATTCTCGGTCACATCACTGGGAAGAAGCAGAGCTGGGATTTGAACCAGGTTCCTTCTCTGCTGTGCTCAGCACACTGCTTTGTAGACTCTTAGTAAATGTGTGTGTGATAGATGGCCCCCCCATGCATGGAGTGACCCAGATTCCAGTCAACTGTTTACCCATCTCTTCTGAGTGTTCTGGGGGCTGGGAGAAGGACAGCTGCATAGGACATTGGAGCCACATCTGGGTGTGTCTACAATAGGGGACCAGAAGGCCTGCTAAGGGCACCTATTTTAGGCGCAACACTAGAGGGTGAGACCCTTTGGGAGGTGCAGAAAGCAACCTGGCCTCGCTTTGGGGTTGCTGCGAATCAGCCACACCACATCTGAGGCTGATGAGATGGGTGGGCGCTGACGGGCCCACTTGTCTCAGGAGTCCTGGAGGGACCCATCATGGGGGCGGCAGTCGGAGTGTTGGACCGTAAGGTTCTGATGGGCTTCCTGGTTGCAGAGAGAATGTGCTCTCTCTGGAGGGACATGAAAGCTCCACGCTGGGATTCCTTCCAGACCTCACCCAGTGTGTCCTTCGACTTGTATGCTTCTTGGTGGTACTAAACCTATAAGTCATTGTTATTGGTCTTCAGTGCTGTCGAGTTGGTTCTGACTCAGAGTGACCCTGCATAGGGTTTCCAAAGAGCATCTGGTGAGTTTGAACCACCAACCTTAGGGTTCAGATTGACCTTGCTGTCGTCCGGTGCTTATCCGACAGCGCCACGCCAGGACTCTTTGAACGCTGGGGTTGTTTCAGCAGATCCCATAGGAGTAATGAGCTCTCCCAGGGGTTGGCATCTACCTGTCTGGAATCCAAAAGAAGGTCTCCTCTCCTAACTTGGGTGCTCTGACATCGTGGCCAGGGTCAGAACCAGAAAGTGCTGTGTGTGTGGCTGGGGTCGAGGATGGAGAAGTGTGGAGGTGAGGACTGGACCCAGCTCCACGTTTTGGGGATAGATTCATGCCGAATCTTGTAACGCAGCTGGCAGTGAAGGGGGTCCTTCCTACTCTGCCCCTTGCTTAGTGTACCCTGGCTAGCAAAGTCCAGACCGGCTACAGAGCTGCTTCTCTGTCCAGTCTGCAGTTTGGCTGCTAGAGCGTCTGCAGCCACAAGCCTGCTTTTCCAGACACATCTATGATGTCTGCTTAGTGCCCCCTTCTGGTGCATGCAGCTTGCACTATCCGGAATGGTACTCTCCACCCAGCCCCTTTGTCTGCCTGCTCATCCTCTTAAATTCTGTTTGAGCTTCACCTCCAGAAAGTCCGCCTTGAGTACCCAGCCAGGCTCACATCCTGTCTCTGGTAAAATAGTCTTAATCTATAAACCGACTTAATCCATCTGCAGCAGATGAGGTATGGAATATCAGCAAGGATGCTTTGGGCTGCAAGGAACAAAAAGCCACAATTTAAGTGGCTTAAACAATCAGGAGTTTTCACTTCCCATGATAGGAGGTCATGTGTTGGGCTGTTCCAAATCTTAATAGTGTCAGTAAGGAACTGGGTCTTCATCTTTCTCTGTGGCCATCTTGCCGTGATAGTGTGTACCCACCAACTACTGCTGAGTCAATTCCAACTCATAGCCACCCTATAGACCGAGTAGGACTGTTCTGTAGGCTGTAAATCGGTACAGAAATATACTGCCTTATTGTGTCCCATGGAGCCACTGGTAGATTTGAACTGCTAACCTTCTGGTTCACAGCCCAATGCTTAAGTCACTGCATCACCTGGGTTATCGCCCCTCATCAGGCTTCCATATTTCATTGGTCAGAACTGGGTCACATGAACATGCCTAAACATGCCTAAACCAATCAGTGGCACAGGGAATGAGACCATCGTGGACCAATAAGGATTCAGTGCTGACGCTGCATCTTGCCCTCAGGGAGGTGGTGGGCCCAGTGGCTGTAGGGGAGTAACCAGCCATGTGGTTACTCTGTGATAGAAGCTTGGAGGGTGGCTCAGGTGTGAGGGGCCCTGACAGGACTGAGATCTCATGATAGGGCTTGGAGTCACATTAATGTAAACATCAACCCGAGACCTAAGAAGGGTCACAATGCTGGCTCCCCTGGAGCCTGGACCTTCTAGGACATCTCATAAAGACTGGAGCTGTGATCTCAATCAGAGCTGCTTGTGTGGGCCTGGGAACCCTGGGAGGGGCCAGGGCTGTTCATACAAGGTGCCAGCTTCTAAGACTCTCCTAGGATTCCTGCTTGTTCTCTATCCCCATGAGGCCGAACTAGGAGAATGAAGCAGTAGTATGAGTGAGGACCCCTTGTAAAACATTCACCACGTGGGTTAGGTACTCATCCAATCACCATCTATATATTGTTGTCGGCTGCCATCGGAATGGCCCCTGACTCAGGGTGACCCCGCACACAGTGTTCCCTCTTTCTGATCATTTGGGGATCAGACCATTGTGATTGGGCTAGGGAGGCTCATTGACTGATTTTGGTGGAAGATCGCCAGCCCCTATTTCCTGAAATGCCTTCGTTTGGAAGCTTCCCTGAGCCCTATTCGTCAGGACAGAAGCATGCATGCCTCCAAAGTGGCTGCACATGAGGTGCCCTGGACGGGGCTCAAACCTGGGTCTCTTGCACGGAGGGTAAGAATTGTACTCCTCAACCACCACCGCCCACTGTACATTAAGAAGTATTGCTGCAAAATCATAGGAACCTTTTATTGAACAAAAATATTCCTTTGGGAAGCTGTTGTTTTTCAACATACCCTCTATCTAGGGCTAGGCATTCCTGAAGGCGGTGTTTTATCACTGGGACCAACTTTTCCAAAGAATTCTGCGTCTTCAGTTTACACCACATCAAAATGGCAGTTATTATAGCCTTCTCAGGGGCTCCAGTCATGTCCTTTTAGGTGTCCTTTGAGTTTGATGAACAAAAACGTCTCACGAGGCAAGATCAGGGCTGTTGGTCGATGGGCTTGAGTTTTCCCAATGAACCTCTCATACGACAGCTCTTGCTACGCTTGAAGAATGAGCCAGGTGCGTTGTCGTAATGGGAGAAATTTCCTTCACGCAACTTTCCTGGTCTTTAGTCTCAGCAGTGCAGTTTTCAATTTCCTTGAAACTTCTTAATAAGCCCCTTTGAGAAAAGCTATCAAGATTCCCACACGTTGGCATGCCAAAAATCAGTCTCCATAACCTTCTGAGCTGACCTCACTGTCTTGAATTCCACTGGCCCAACAGAGCCCCTCAGTGGCCCCTGGTTTAATTGGACTTTGCTCTCTGGACCTTATTAGTACATCCAAGATTCGTCCCCTGTTACAATTCATTCCGTCACATCGGCTTTGTGATTTAAAAGGCTGATGGACAGATGAGCTCTTTGAGCTAACTGAGATCAGTCCTTTGGACACTTTGAGACCCGTTAACCCAAAAGCGCTCAGAGAACAAGATGTTCCCTTAAAATGGAAAATGCCGAACCATGTGAGAGACCAACTTTGGTAGCTGCCATTTCAGTGGTCTTCCATCAGTTTCTGGGCTTGAGCCACCATTTCTTCATTCATAGACAGTGACTTTGTCACTCTCCTAGCGCATTTTTGAGGTCTTCCTGACCTCTGTTAAAACATTTGATCCATCTAAAATCTCTTGTTTTATGTGGGCAGCGTTACTATAAACTTACTGCAAAGCTTCTATGATTTGAGAAGATGTCCATTTGAATTTTGTTAAAAATTTGATGTTAGCCCAAACTTCAAAATCATTTTTTCCCATGGCCCCAAAAAGTATCCTTTTTTTTTTTTTGAGGTACCCTCGACAGCACTTAACAACAAAAATAAAACTCAGACAAGTATGTTGTGGAATTATGGTGAGAACTTGTCAGTGGTCATCTAGGAATCTCAGCATGTTTTGCTTGGAATAAACCTGTGCCATGTATAAGCGGAAACCTTAGTAGCAGTATTTTTTGCCCTGCCCTCTTATTTGCTTATTTAATCCTTACAACTTTATAAAGTTGGCTCTCTGTTATTCCTATTTTTCAGATGAAGACATTGAGACACTTTGTGCCCAAGGACCGTAGTAGTGGCAGAGCTGGGGTTTGATCCCAGGAAGTCTGGCGGTAGAACCATCCCAATGACCTCACATGCCAGGTGTTCATGTTGATCAGTTTGGGCTTAGGTAGTTGTTGGGACTTAAGAGAGAAACAGTGTGGAGCTCATGTTTTACAGAAATAGTGCCTGGTTCACCAGAAATGCCTATCAGCTTTTTTAGCTGAGGGAGCAAGTGCCCTGGTTAACCTGACTGGCACCGGTCTGGAGGCAGAATTTGAAAAGCCCAGGTTTGACTTTTTAAGGTTCCTCACATGGAGTCTTGATGTGGTGCTATAGGATAAGCAGTGGATTGCTAACTGCCAGATCAGTGGTTCAAACCCACCAGCCACTTCTTGGAAACCTTATACAGGGTCACTATGAGTCAGAATCGACTCAGTGGCACTTTACAACATGCATATAGGAGTCCCCAGTGCTGAAAACGTGAATGTGCTCAAGTTGGCGATTAAAGTCCACCCAGAGACTCCTCTGACAATATATTTCCAAAAGGTTCCAGCCATTGACAACCCTATAGGGCTCAAGTCTACTCTGAACCACTTGAGGGCGCCATAAATCGGTGTCGCACTGATGGCAACTGGTTGGTTCCATGTGCAGATTCACACCCAGAGTCTAGGAAGTGAAGTTTCTGTCCCTGCCGTCAGGCAACTGGATCAAGGAGTCTAGTCATTTGAATATAGGACCCTTTGAAAGGGGCAAACATGAAGGCTTCCTGAAGGACCCTGGTAACATAACAAAGTGAAAGTTCCATCCTATCAGCCAGGACCTGGAGAAAGCTGAGGATGCCTGGGAAACCCTAAGGAACAGTTCTCTGCCCTGTAAACTCAATATGAGTTGGAATCAACCGGATTGCAGTGGTTTAGGTTGATAGTTTTAAAGTACCCTGAGTCCTTTGATACTTCTCTGTTCAAAAGCCAAAGTGTCCACTCTTTCCCACCCTCACTGGGTTCCTTTAAGTGAGGGGGAAGTCTGCCATGTTGTGAGGACACTCAAGCATCCCTGTGGAGAGGCCCACAGTGGACAGAAACTGAGATCTCCCAAACCAACAGGCAGCGCCAGCTTGCCTCCCTATGAGTGAACCATCTTATCCGCTGATCTTCCAGCCCTGGACGAGCCTCCCAATGGTGGCGTCTTGTCCAGAGTTTTCTAAGAGACCCTGAGACCGAATTGCCAAAATTCTTAGCCCAGAGTAATTATGAGGCCTAATCAAAGTTTACTGTGGCTACAAGCCACAAGGTTCTGGGCTAATTTGTATGCAGCAATAGATAACTAATAAAGTGACCGTGTAATTTATCAGCCAAACGGGGACATTTTTTAGAGTAACAGAGCACTGAAAATAATTACCCAGACAACAGGACAAACCAGAATGTAAAATCACCTTATCTCTAGTTCAGTCAGCCCTCCCTTGCAAGTCCTGAAACACCTCTTTCTCCCCAGAGGCAACTCCAGCATCATATCCAGGAAACCACCATGGGGCTGGGTGAGCAGCTTCTTGGTTGGGGTCATCCGGGTCTCAGAGATGGAGGTTGGGAGGGCAGGTTCCCTTCTGTCCTCATCCCAGGTATGCATCCAGGCATTGTCTTATCTCCGAAGGGTCAAGGGAGGCGCTTGTGTAAAAGGCTGAAGTCTCTTCTGAGCACCGCGCTTGGGAGGCAAAGTTTGTTCTTGAAATAGACTAATGCTGTGAGTTCTTGTCCTCCAGGCGCTCCTTGGAAACTATACAGCAGGGGTGGGGAACATCTGGCCAGCAAAATCATTTGGTCTGGCGCTGCCAAGGCAACCACAGTTCCAGCCATCATGTTGTTGTTGAGTGCCATCGAGTCTGTTCCGACTCATAGCGACCCTGTATAGGGTTTCCAAGGAGTGCTGGTGAGTTTGAACCACCAACTTTGCGGTTTAAACCGACTTTGCAGTTCAGCACATTAACCCACAGTGCCACTCCAGGACAATACATTGTTGTTGTTAGGTACCATTGAGTCAATTCTGACCCTGCGTTGGGTTTCCAAGGAGCAGCTGGTGAGCTTGAACCACCAACCTTGCAGTTCAAACAACTTTGCAGTCTGACGCATTAACCCACAGCACCACACCAGGACTCTAGGATGTTACATTGTTGTTGTTGTTAAGTGCCATCGAGTCGGTTCCGACCCATAGCGACCCTGTACAGGGTTTCCGAGGTAGGATGTTACATTAGGGGAGAGTTAATTAAATGATTGCTAAATACAGTAGGCTAATTCTTTAGTTATTAGTTTTTTATGGCCTGCCAATGATGTTATGAAAATTTGGCAGAATAAAGGTTCCCCATCCCTGCTGTATCGTGTCGCTGTGAGTTGGAACTGGCACAATGACACTTAAGAGCAGCAAAACAAAATGCTGCCTGATCCTTCTCTGTCCCCATGATGGGGTGTGGATCAGACCATTGTAGGATTTTTCAGAAGTGGATCACCAGGCCTTTGTTCATAGTCTGTCTTAGTCTAGGACCTCTGCTGAAGCCTGGTCAGCATTGAGACACATGCCAGCCTCCACTGACAGGCAGGTGCTATGTTGGAGGTGTGTTGCCCCGTGTCTCAAACCTGCGTCTCCCCAATGAAGGCAAGAGTTTTGCCACTGGACCTCCCATCCTGCCCTGAATAAACACTCTATAATTTCTTGGGGGCAGTGGATGGCAATGCCATGTTGCTGTACGAGTTCAGTTAAAAAGGGTTTAAGGGGGAAATCGCTTCTAGATGCCTTATAGTCATTCCTCCTTGTCTTAAATTACAAGGATAAGTCAAGAAGTCTTACTGCTAGCCCCCAGTTCATACATGCCCAGGTTTATTCTGAACAAGACAATGTCTAGAACATGCTTGGGACTTCAGTGGATGGCTGCAGATGTTCTCTCAGTAATACATGTGTCTCGGTCTCAGGTTCAAGTCGATTTCAACTCAGATCAGTCAGCTCCACAGGACAGCATGGTACTGCTTGGCTCCTCGGGTTTCCAGGCTCTAACTCTTTACAGGGCAGACCGCCTCATCTTTCTACTTTGGAGCAGCTGGTGGGTTCAAACCACCAACCTTTCGGTTAGCAGGCAAACACATAACCCCTGGTGCCACCAGAGCTCCTTTTAGTCTCAGTAGAATGCCTTCATAAAAAGGTACCTTCCAGGCGGTCTGCTGGGCCAGGTCAGTTCAAAGCAGAGAGGTCAGCTCAGAAGGTTATGGAGACTGTATTTTGGGATTCCAAAGTGGAGGGGATCATCTTGATAGATTTTCTTCTTCCTTAGTAAGCCCCCGTGAAAGACCCCAGGACGATCATAGGGGCTTATTAGAAAGAAGTTTTAAGAAAATTGAAGACATGCTGGTGAGTAAAAGGCTAGGATAGTCATGTTAAAGGGATTTGTTTTTCATCATGATAATGCGCCTGCTCATTCTTGGAGGGTAGCAAGGGCTATGTTAACACCACTGAGAAACCTTATGCCATCTACACTACAGCCCTCAGCCTGCCCCTTCAGAATTTTTCTTGTTCCTGAAACTCAAATGACATGGAAAAGGAACACAATATTTGGGTCCCTCAAGGATACCAAAACCACCTTTTATGTGGTGTCCTACAAAATCGGTTGGAACCGCAAGAAAGCAGTTCAAGCTTGTCAGCCACTCTTAGAAAACCCTATACAGTGTCGCTATGGGTCGGAACTGACTCGACAGTACTTAACAATATGGTGTAAAACGAAGAGTTCTTCAAGGGAACATTGCCATCTGATATAGACCTAGGTGGAACATTATATGGAGAAGCAAAAGCGTCACATTTTGATCTTTTTGTTTAATAAAGGTTTCTATGGTTTTCATGCAAGGAGCTCTGGTAGCGTAGTGGTTACGAATCGGGCTGCGAACCTTAAGGTCAGCGGTTCGAAACTACCAGCCGCTCCG